GAATTCCACATCGCTATCCACAAAACCATCCGTCGCTGCCGGAAGCTCAACCGTGGAGAGCCTATATGAAATTTCCCCGCACTTTCCAACATGTGGGTCCCTTTTTTGGCTACCGTTCACATTATTTTTGATGTCGCCTCCACTGGCCCCTTCTACTGTGCGGACAATCGACGCCATGACTGAAACGAACGACGTTTAGTGGGTTAAAACGGCGATTTCTGGCAAAATCATTTTCACTCCTTTTTTGGCACTCAGAAGGCCATTTAGCGGAAATGGACCTTAGTTATATACTCAGTGCTCATGCCCCTACATCATGCAAAAAACTATTTTCAAAAAGCGTCCAACGCCCTGAAAGACCTTCCTTGTCAGGAAGATTATCCTACTAGTTGAATTCTCTTCCATAAATTCTTCTTCTTCGAAACTCAGAATCGTTTCCTTGCACCGTTGCAATTTCACAAAACAGCCACCCTTTTCTGCGCTCCAGGATAGTTAGACATGCAAAGTTCCTTGTGGTCACCTCACCAACTAAATTTTCATCAGTCTCTTCGCCTTTTATAGCCAATTCGATGAAAGTTTAACCGACTTCTCTCAAATACGGGCTTACGGCACCAATCGTTTGCAGCGCTCCAATCAAGAAGGCTCCTCGACATGCTCGCGGAAAATCGGCGGTACAAATAAATGCGATTTGAACTGATATGATGAACATCTTTCAGATTCATCAGGGAATCACATTATTCATATTTTTGTTAATCGTGTTAATCATCACCGACTTTCTCCTTCTTATCGTTTGCGAGATACAGCGATCGGCGCCCATAGCCTTCACTTATGCACTGAACTTCGTGGTTGTCACTCTAATAATAGGAATAGCTCCTTTTCTTGGTGAGAATGTCGGCTTACTTTTCGTTTACCAGCTCACAAAACAGTGCTAATAGTTATAAAACCATTCTAATTGGCTGCAACCAGTAGTACGTTTGAGTAAAAATAATAGGTGGGGTTATGAATCACGTAGGTGAACATTAACATTCCGGAATTACCAGTAATACTATGTATTCGCTAAGTGTTTGTGTCTGTTGGCTTTTCGGTGATTTCGTGTTTGTGTGTGCTGTGTTTTTTTTTTGGTGTGAGTGTGTTTGACCGAAAATTCATGACACCTGTCCCCGTGGACCTAGAGCGTTCGAATTTGGTAGGAGTGCAGGCGGCAGGACGGGAACATTCATGACAGGTAGCAGAACCACTCTCCGCCTGCCCTCGCCTTCTTGATGGGTTTTCCTTTCTTCCTTTCTTCCTAAGAGCACGTTGCCCGGAAAGCATAAGTACGGGTTCGAGTCCCGTCCGAGATTTCGCCCACAAATAGCCATCCTTCTGAGACTTTTGCATGGCGTACTGCGGCAATATAGCAGTAGTTAACAAAACACCAAGTCAGAACCAAACTCGGCCCAAGTACCGGGCCTACGCGGTGGAAACTCTCCACGGCAAATTCATAAATCCTATTTATCTGGACCTGTAGTGTTGGAACTTGGTAGGAATACAGGCGGCAGGATGGGAACATTGATGATAGGTGATAAGAGGTGATAACAATTGAAAAAGGTTGTAAAGAACCACAGAAGGCTGGGTGCAGAATAACTTACCTCTCTTGTATTGACTGTGGAGCTTTGACATTTCAGTAAGGGGTGTGGATTAGGAAGGGATCATGGGAGTTTCGTTATAGGGATTGATAACAAGAGTTAGAGATTAATAAAGAGCCACAGAAAACGCGAGCCCTTACAAGGAAGGTCCTACAGGGCGTGGGACGCCTTTTGGAAATGACTTTTTCCATGGTGTAGGGGCATGACCACTGAGTACAGAACTATGGTCCATTTTCGCTAAATGGCCTTCTGAATGCCAAAAAAAGGAGCGAAAATGTTTTCGTCAGAAATTGCCGTTTTAATCC